TGAAAAAAAATTGGATAAGCAAAATGTCAAAAAACTGCAAACCGTAACCTAAAACGGCTGTAAGTTTCGTGCAAGATTTAGAAACTGACGATTTCTCAAAATGTATACTTATGTATACTTATGCAATAAATCATGTCAGTCCCGAATCACTGGTAACACTATCAGCAATGGACATTTCAGCGAAATGGCAGGACATTTGAGCGATAGAAAAAGGACGTTTGAGTGCGGAAGTATAGCACATTTGTGCGCCGAAATTCTAGGACATTTGAAAGAAAATAAAAAATGAAAAAGACATTTGAGCGAAAAAAAATAAGAATGATGAAGGAGTACCTCTTCCGTTCGCCAGCGGAGTTTATAACGGACAAAGTTTATAACATCTTTTAATTGCAAAATAAATGCACTGTCATAAAACTTAAAACTCGGCAGTGGCATTATTTACAAGTCAGTTCGGGCATTTATATCTCTGACATAAAAATCCCTCGTTATTTCCTGCTGGCAGTACCGCGAATGCAAGTCCAGGAGATTCTGTTCCTTCTCCTTGTCTGTTCAGCTCTGAAGTGCTGTCGCAAACAAGGCTCTTTATTTCCTTTATTCGTATCGTACAAAATTATATCCATTTTAACATGTACAAGACCTCAAGTGCCAATTAAGGGACATTTCAATTTATATATATAAGAAATTTTGAACAAAGAAAATATGCATAACCAATGAATTATAGTATGTCGAATTGATTGGTAAGTAGAGTAACTGGTTATGTTCTTCTCATATATTTTATGACGGTATAATACTAAACCCCCAACAGGAGGGATTGTGTCTGATATTCATATGATGAAGACATAATCTTTCAATCAGTTTAATTGAGGTCTGGAGCTGTCATGTCAGTAACTGCTAGTAGTCTGTTGTTATTTATGTATTATTGTCATTTTGTTTATTTTCTTTTGTTTCCTATTCTGACATCGGACTCGGACTTCTCTTAAACTGAGTTTTACTGTGCGTACTGTTGTACGTTTGTTTTTTCTACATTGGCTAGAGGTATAGGGGGAGGGTTGAGATATCAAAAAACATGTTTAACCCCGCCGCATTTTTGCGCGCCTGTCCCAAGTCAGGAGCCTCTGGCCTTTGTTAGTCTTGTATCATTTTTAATTTCAGTTACTTGTGTATAATTTGGAGTTTAGTGTGACGTCTATTATCACTGAACTTGTATACATATTTGTTTAGGGGCCAGCTGAAGGACGCCTCCGGGTGCGGAAGTTTCTCGCTGCATTGAAGAACCATTGGTGGCCTTCGGCTGTTGTCTGCTCTATGGTCGGGTTGTTGTCTCTTTGACACATTCCCCATTTCCATTCTCAATTTTAACTATCATTAAATAGCCAGAACCGATCGAATTTCCCTTTTTCTTACTTTTTAAAAATCTTTTCTTAATTTATATAAAAGTATTACAGGAAATTTCGCTCAAACGTCCTATTTGAAAATCGAGGTAAGGTTAATATTCTGGTGTTAAAATGTCCATGATGTCGACGTTCAACTGACCCTATGTGCATTTTTTATTTTCGATCAAATGTCCTATATGCCCAACACTATAAAGATGTGCTTTGATGTTAAACACATATTATATGACATGTCTGGGAAGAAACATGTATAGGATTAAATTTTAAATCGTAACTGAACATGTTTAGAATATAGGAACTCTTTTAAGACTCGAAACTGTTTTTTTTTTTGCGGTATACTAGACGTATAGTTTTCGTTGAACGTTCACTGAACACAACAGGTTGCATATTCTGGAATATACAGATGGATGTTTCTAATTATGGTTTAATATTATTTTCTTGGACGGTTTTACCTCTTGATGTCTTGGGTTTGTGTGTCCTTGGCTTTGCTGTCGTATTGACGCATATGTCCTTCATCTGTTTTTATTCCTGGTATCTACGATGAGTTTATTTTTTTCATAATTTTAGGCTATTGACAAGTACATGATTAAAATTATAGCTTTTAGAGGTCATATTCATAGAAAATATATATGTATTTCACCGTCGCACTTTTTTCATAAAACAATTGCATTTTAAATAATATCTTTTTAAAAAATACTATTTGAATATATAAAACATTCATTCTTGTCAAAGTCAAAGATCTCGGTTTTTTCATCTGCATTTTTAGACACATCTCTATTCAAGTATTGCAGTCCTTACAGTCATCCCCTTGATATCTTCAGTCTTGTTTGACTGCATGTGTTGTTGTTTTCTGTATCATTGATGTGTACGACATATTTCCTTTTATCTAATTTCAGTAAACCCTACTTTCAACGAGACAAAATATATAAATTGAAACTAAAAGGTGTAAGATTCAAATCCCTATCGGTCAAATTATAAATTAATCTTATAATTTGACTGCTATGGATTTGAATAATAGGAATGTCTATTGTTAAAGTTAAGAACTGTAAGAACTTTGAACTTGAAATATCAATAAAATTTATAGATTTACAATAAGCTACCACCGTGTAGCAACAGAAACTGTCGGTTTTAAGAAAGTCCGTCAATATTTGAGACACTATACACTTTCAGTTATTTCATCTTTGATCAGGATCTGCTTACCCTCCCGGAGCACCTGAGATCACCCCCAGTTTTTGGCGGGGTGTGTGTTGCTCAGTCTTTTGTTTTCTATGTTGTGTTTTGTGTACTGTTTTTTGTTTGTCTTTTTTTCTGTTTTAGCCATGGCTTTGTCACTTTATTTTCCGGATTATGAGTTTGAATGTCCCTTTGGTATCCTTCGCCTCTCTTTGACTGAGATTACCATTTCAAGGCTATGTTTTATTAATGTATTTAACACCGTTTTTTTTAATAAAGACCTGAGACTACTATAACACATAGTTATAGTAGTCTCAGATAAAGATTGACAGTTTTTAAAACAACAATTTTTGATCTGAATTATCGTCTGTGATAAGGAATAGTTTCTTATTTTCAAAATACATTTATATTATACTATGTTTTGTTAGTTTTAGAGACAAATCATATATAGGTAAGTTGATTTATATGACAAGAATTGAAATATATAACAGGGCGTGTTTTTTTGTTCTTCGGTAGTGAGCCAGAAGAGGTCCATTTCTATTTTTTGCATTGGGAAGATCTTCTGTTCCTCTTCTATCTCTTCTTTTTAAATAGGTGGTTTAGACGGCAGAGGCATATAACAAACATGGCGTCGTTTAGTCTAAATGACATAAATAAATTTATTAATTCAGATATAATAGAATGTGTGCTGTGTGATTAACGTTTTTGTGGTATTGCAGCCTTAGAACATCCCTGTAGGGGCGATAACCTGGATAAATATAAAAACTACATGAACAATCAAAGTAAGGGGACGACTTTTTGATATTCTGGCGAGGGGGAGGGAGCAGGATAAATTTTTTTTGCGGATTTATTATACATTTTAATATGTCCCTAAGCATGCCATGCCTATATTTTCAGCTCAGTCTCACTAGGCCTCCATATTCCTTTTCAAAATCCTCATGTCCCCCACCCCTACCAAAAAAAAAAATAGCAAATGGTTTTCTCCTTATTCAACACGAGTTTAAAATGATTGGTAGTTTGTTGCTTATTTTTAACGTCCAGGGACAGATATTTCATGCATTTTCTGAGTCTAAAAGTCAGGTATATGATATAAAAATTAGGAGATGTGGTATGATTGCCAATGAGAAAACTATCCATTGGAGTTCAAATTAAGGGGATATAAGGAATTATAGGTAACCGTATGGCCTTCAACCATGACAAAACTCCATACCGTATAGTCGGCTATTAAAGGCCCCGACATGAAAAATGTAAAACAATTGAATCGAAAAAAATAACGGCTTTATTATATATAACAAAAACAATTTACAAATATCAAATATGAGGCAACACTGAGGACAACACACATAAACCAACGACAACCACTGAACTACATGCACCTGACTTGGCACAGGCACATTAAGAATATGGCAGGGTTAAACATGTTTATGATTGATCAATTCTTCCCTAAACTAGGACAGTGGTGTAACTGTACAACATTAGAACAAACTGTAAAAATCGGTTACAATAGTAATATCTCAAAAGATAAGAGACACAAAAAAATAAAACCAAACTAACATTATGACAATAGACACAAAGCACCGAAATAAGAGTATTTTCAGTTACTGAAAGTTTGTTCAAAGCCAATTACAACTAACAAATAAATCTTGTTCCCCAAACTAAAGTACCAATCATTACACAATCAACGGATTTAGTAATAAACAGTCTGAGAAACGCCATAACCATATATACCTTGTATACATATACAATCATTAAGTCGTGGTCCGAAGGTTTTGACCATCAAAATTTTGCAAAAGAAATAATATTTAGGACCAGCAGATTTTCTTCAAGGGCCACCAGGGGAAAAGATTTTGAGAACTCTGCAATATCTTTTATATATGCAAAAATAATCCAGTTCTTTACTTAAAAAAATTTCATAGACCAGATGTCCAAACAAACATTGAAAAATTCTTGTACCGTTTAAGATTATTCCTTAAAACAGAGACATATATGTCTCTGCTTAAAATCACATGGTCGGCGCTTCAAGTCAGATTTTAGTTAGTAAAGTATAAAGAAAAAAATTCACAGCGATTTCTTCCAACCAATTTTCTTTGTTTTTACACTTATTGTATAATTACACCAATGCTGAAACATAGCACACTATTACAATCTTGTCTACCGAATAAATTGAAGTATCTTAATTTTCTAATAAATCATCGTAAACTTCATTTATGTCATCCAACATAAAAAAAATCTGATATATTCGACGGCAAATATATTATTTGTTTTATTGCTTCTTCTACAGAATATCTCCAGATGAGGTACAGATTCATTCTTTTTGGACTCTTCACCAGAAGACGTTCTGGAGATGTATAGAAGAGACCAATAAAACACGCCCCAGTTGTTTAACGAGGGGAGATAATCCCACCAACCATATGAGCCTCTTGTTTGTTTAAACCGGAAGTGTCTTTTAAGGAAGTATACAATGGTTGAAGAATATCTAAATATCTCTTATTAGCGAAATTATCCTCATAAAACACAGTAACGATGTCTCGAGGAATGATGCCTAGCCAGCAGAAGCTGGCAGAAAAACTAACTATCATGAATGACCGAGGTCGTGGAATGCTAACACGCATTTACAATATCAAAAAGGTTTGTTTTTGACAGTCAAAACCTAAGATCCTTTTTCGAAATTGTTAACTTGGAAAAGGAGAAAGAGGAGTTTACATTAAGTCAGTGTGTAAAATAGTTGATGACCCTGTGTCAGTCGTCGCGCTAAACCACAGGCCCAGCAGCCCAAGGTGATAAAATTTCAGTTGGGTCTGTAAAAATAAGGTCTACAGGCCAATAGAAACAACTAAATTTTCAGTAAAATCAGCTTAGGGCCTGCAGATTCATAAGTTTATCGTGAAGTCTGTTGTGTTTTAGATGAATGTTTAAGTTTGACTTACAGTACACTGCAATGTAAATTTCATAAATTAATTTTCATGATACCATAAATCGGTCCCACATGGCATACTCCCAATTATTGTGCTTATAAGAAGAACATTTGCAGCAATAAGTAGATAATGTTTTAGTACACCTAAGAGAAACAAACTAGCAAAACTTAATTAATTTTCTCAGTGTGCATGAATCAGGTCATGGGTACGGCACTCCCTGTGACTGAAAACTATATATTTCTATTGCCTGGTTCCTAAGGTTATTACCTGAATAACTGTAAATAAAAAAGGAGATTATTTATATCTGGTGCCATAGAAAGATACAAATACATAAAAAAGTGCAACAAGTCTATTCGTTTGATGTGTTTGAGCTTTTGATTTTGCCATTTGATAAAGGACTTTCCATTTTGAATTTTCTTTGGAGTTCTGTATTTTTGTTATTTTACTTTTTTTCTCATTGGGAAAAAATACATGGTTAAAAGTCAGGGAAAAAGATTAGCAGGGCCCAGTAGCCAATGCTACTAAAATTTGGGTTGGGCCGCTAAATTTTTTATTAAAATGCCCATAGTCATTATAGTGCTTACATGTATTTTAATTTTCACATTGTGGCGGGTTGGGCCCCTAGTTAGGAAATGTTAGTCTTATTCCCTGAAAGTGTTACCCATATCGAATATCCATTATTTTTAAATCAAACAAACGTCTAGATTTTTTTCTGTTATGCCTGCAGTTATTGATAATTTTACATGTAATTGGCAAACGAAGAGGATTAAATGCTCAATTATAAATGCAATTCATAAATGATATAAATACTTGTCAATGAAGAAAAAGTTTATTACACTTAAAAAAAACAAGTGTTTTACAGTGTATTATGTTTCACTTTGCCATAGGCACTTAGCTAGTTTATAAATTTGAGGAAGTATCTATTACTAACTGCTTTTGGATAAGAAATGAATGAATATGTACATGTATTGAAAATTATGGCTTTTATATAATTTAGTTGAGGAAAAAAACTGGTTTTCAGAACTTTCATATTTTTTGTAACATGTACAATATACATGATATACGTGACAATTTATTCAAACATTGTCAGATTTTAACAATGTATACAGAATCGTGTGTTTAGAGGATGACCATTTGATTTTCTAGGGGAGGAGGTGGGTAAAGAGTATTTTGAAAATGAGTATTCTGGCATTGTAACAGAACTGGAAATAAATAACCTTGCCTGAAACAGAATGAAAATGAATGGTAAACCCATCAACATCATTAAACATGCAGAAAACAAATATGTAATAAAGAGAAAATAATTTTTGCACGGCAAAGCTGCGCCCAAGCGAAACAAGACTTGCAAAAGGTGAAAATGAATAAATCATATATTCAGAAGGTTTTTCAAAATTCTTCATCAAATGTTTTTCAATAAATAGTTGCAGATTTTCTCATATCTTTTCAGCGCTTTTCTTGTTTGTTTATAAATTTCAGTTGTTGAAATAAGAGCTTTTCAAATCACTGTTGCTTGCATGCTGAATTTACATGTAGTTCCTTTGATTACACTTATTTGACCTTTTGTTTTGGTTCTAGGCATTCAGTAAATATAAGGATGTAAGCAATAGTTGTTTGTTTTGAGAATTTGTTTTTTTAATGAATGCATGGTGTTCTGAAAGGCAAGGCTTTTCGCCCATGTGTATAAAGTGCAAGCTTCTTCTGTATGGTTTCTTCCAATATTTTATTCAGTTTATTCATATGCAAATTTGAATGATAGGGAAATGTCACAATGTTTAACCCATGATAGAAATGGTTGCGACAGGCTAGTTAAAAAATACATTGAGTTGTCATTTTTGATAATCTGACCAGAACTTTAAACTAATTTTATAATAAATTGGATAAACAATTACTTGTACAAAAAAGTACTAAGAAATTCATCAGTGAACATATTTAAAGATATTCACTAGATACATATATATAGTGAAGGCTTTTACCAGTTGGTGTTTTAACACAATTATAGAAAAAGGTACATGTAGCAGTCATTGAAATTAGCCGTTTGAATGTTATCTTTATAAGTCGTGAAGACAATGTCAGAAATCATTTCTATATAATTTAAAAAAAAAAAAAGTAACCTATGTTTATTTTCTTTCCTGGTCTTTATCATTACTAATGAATCGACATGTATTTTTAAAAGAAAAAAGTTATTCAGTGCACAAAAGCCACACAAGGTGATTCAGTTATTCATCACTCTTTGTGGTGATTTTTCAGAGTGGATTCTGGTGATTATAGGTGATTCACTCTTTAATATCCTATACGACCCAAAATACATGAGGGTCTGGATGAAGGTCCTTCATTTTTTTATTATTTAATTTTTTAGACCATTTTCGATATTGTTTATTTATTTTCCCCATTACATTTATTTTCTTTTCTTTATGATTTAACACTCAATTATTCTCGATTCTTTATGATTTAACACCTCATCATTTTCTATTCTTTATTTTGTTTACCTACTTTTTTCTATTCTTAGTTATTTTTGCCCATTATTCTGAACTTTTTGTCCATTATTCTCTATTGGGTTAACCCCATCCAGCCCCTCGTACATGTGCATATTCTGTTGATATTTAATGACATGGTTGTAAATCAATTTTTTCACTTGAAATCACGAGCAATCACCCTGTTTCACAGTGAATCACTCAACACTAGCAAGAGTGATGTTTGACCCAATCTCCTTGTGTGAATTGTTCATGACTAAGCAAAGAGAGACTAACCCAGATGCTCCTTCCCATATCTGCCAGTTTATCAAGTCCTGCATACAAATGGTTTGACTATATACTAACAGTTTGTTATTTATCATGTTTTTTATCACATGACCTAACAGATGTCTGTAAGTAGATGGCGTTGTTGTCAGCATGTCTGTTTGTGTTATTTTTTTTAAATCTGTTTGTAGCATTAGATTAAGTGATTTTTGTCTGTCATTGTTTTTCTTTTTGTACAATTTGTGTTTTTTTAAGTCCCTGCAAAACTTGAAAGACATGTAGAAGACATAATATGGACCTTTACCAAGATAAAAAAGAATAATATGTACTAAAAATTAACAAAAAAGAAGCTTTAAAAATATTTAAAAAATTTATTTGAATGATTGTTTGCTCCCTCTGTAAATATATCTAGGTCACGTAGGTGAATATTTATATATATTTATTTTCATTTATTTTTTTGGAGGGGGTCGGACAAGTGATTATTCTTTATTCAAATTTTTATTTTTTTAATTTGTTGAACGAAGGTTCTTTATGTCAATAATCCTTTATACTGAGAGTGTGTAAATTTTCACTTGCCTTAGCCATTCATTTTAAATTTGGTCTAAACTATATTTTCTTAACCTGCTGGCTTCAATGACCTGCAGACTCACCAATAGAACATCCAAAACAGTAAAACAGCATTTTATATACCGGTATATAATTACGGGACAACAATTACTAGATACTAGACTCTGACTGTGTGAGACCCTCATAGATAGTCAATGTCGTGAAATACCCCCTGTAGAAGATACTAGATAAGGCAAGTCTGGCAAGTACTGATGGGACATGTTAATGCAATGTTTTATTATCATAATTTACTTTTGTTTAGCATCTAAGAGTGTCTGGATGGGTTCATTTTGATTTGAACTTTTTTTGTCACTTTTTTGCACACATTGTGTATGTACCATGCACTTGGAATCCTAAAGGGTATAACAGGCACTAAATATTTTAATTGGAAAGGAGATAAACCAAGAGAGACTCTTGCAGAATTTTAAGATTTAAAGCATGATACCAGAATGAAAGGAAAGACCCTTTTCATTTAATTTCTTTGAATATTAAAACTGAAATTAAACATCTGTTTGCATTGTTCATGTTGTTTATGAAATTTTGATGAAAAATGCATATTTTGGTAAAATTTTTCATTATTTTCTTCACTAGAATTTTTTTTTATTTACTTCATGATGTTCATTATATGGTCCGTTTGACTTTTATATGTTTGCAGACAAAAATTCTAGAAAATCGATTTTTTTCAAATCATTATTTTAACAATTGTTTAACATCAGTATTGACAACATGTACTTCAAAAAATAAAATTAATATAGAGACTTTTTGGGTAACTTTTTTAATTATAGACCAAAAATTATGAAATCAATAGTCAGAGTTTGTATATTTCATATATCAACATACATCCAAGAAGAAAAAAAATGATTTGAGAAAATGGATTTTTTATTTTTTTTTCTGCAAATACATAGAAGTCAAACGGACTATATAAAGTGTACAGGTAATCATTTTATTACAAAATTTTAGTAGTCTGGTGAAAGGGCTTTACATGTATGTATGTATATATATTTGTGATGTAATTTTTCATTTATAATTTTTACTTTATAAAATTAAAGCATTAGGTTATTGAAAATATTCTATTTTACTTTACATTATTTTATATATTTTATATATATCTCTGTCATAAACATGTTGTATCTGCATCATACATGTCATACTTTCAATTTTATTTTTTATGCCCCACTTAGGGGCATTATGTTTTTCGGTCTGTGCGTATGTTCATCTGTTCATCCGTCCGTTCGTTCGTTCATCTGTCCTGCTTCATGTTAAAGATTTTGGTCGCTTCAGGTTTAAGTTTTTGGTGAAGGTAGTTTTTGATGAAGTTGAAGTCCAATCAACTTGAAACTTAGTACACATGTTCCCTATGATATGATCTTTCTATTTTTAATGCCAAATTAGAGTTTTGACCCCAATTTCAAGGTCCACTGAACATAGAAAATGATAGTGTGAGTGGGGCATCCATGTACTATGGACACATTCTTGTTTCTATCCTAATTTTGGATATGAATAAAAGGAGATTTTCAGGACCATTTCTTAAAAAAATATATGGATATATCATTAATGCTTTAGGGTTAAACTTTTACCATTACAAAGTCCTATTCAGCAAAATTTCCCTGAGTTTGACCTACATTTCATGATTGAGTGACCTAAAGTGTCTGCATTTAGTTCCATTTCCCTGGAAACTTGTTTTCTGCCTCAGAGGTCTTGAGTTAGCCTGATTGCCTTGAGTGGAGATCAAGCCAAAGGCTTAGAAAGCAGTTAAAGCAAATAAAGACTGGTGGACTCATGATATATAGGCAAACTTTAACATTCTTTTTGAATGACCTTCAAAACACTGTGTACTTTTTATGACATCAACAGGTATTGTCACCTTTTTTTTCTCTCGAGATGCCACAATTAAAAATGAGATGACTACAATATTATTATTTTGATGTCAAAATGAAAGAACTACAATAAATCAAAGCACACTTTTAGTCATAAAGAATAATAACTAGTATGGGATATGGGAGAGCTTAAATGACCTAATGATAGAGAAATGATATTTCACCTCTGAAGACAATTTGTGAAGTTCATGCTGTTTTGGTGACCTACATTTTACACTTGAATGATTTAAGTTCATGTGGTTTTTATACGACCGCAAAAAAATTTTTGTGGTCGTATATTGGTATGACGTTGGCGTCGTTGTCGTTGTCTCCAGCGTCGTCGTCGTCCGAAGACACATTGGTTTTCGCACTCTAACTTTAGTTTAAGTGAATGGATCTCTATGAAATTTTACCACAAGGTTCAATACCACTAAAGGAAGGTTGGGATTGATTTTGGGGGTTATGGTACCAACAGTTAAGAATTAGGGGCCAAAAATAAGCATTTTTGTAACTTCCAGACATAACTTGTGTGTTAGTGTATGGATCTCTCTGACATTGTACCACAAGGTTCCATATCACAAAGGGAATGCTGGGATTGATTTTGGAGGTAATTGCCTCAAAATTTTAGGAATTAGGGGCCAAAAAAGGGGCAAAAAACAAGCATTTTTCTAGTTTCATGACAATAACTTGTGTGTAAGTGTATGGATCTTTCTGAAATTGTACTACAAGGTTCCATATCACAAAGGGAAAGCTGGAATTGAGTTTGGGGTAATTGCCCAAAACGTTTAGGATTAAGGGGCCAAAAGGGGGCCAAAAATAAGCATTTTTCTAGTTTCCAGACTATAACTTGTGTTCAAGTGTATGGATCTCTCTGAAATTGTACTGCAAGGTACCATACCACAAAGGGAAGGCTGGGATTGACTTTTGGGGTAATTGCCTCAAATTTTAGGAATTAGGGCCAAAAAAGGGGCAAAAAAACAAGCATTTTTCTAGTTTCATGACAATAACTTGTGTTCAAGTGTACGGATCGCTCTGAAATTGTACTGCAAGGCACCATACATTGTAGCACAAAGGGAAGGCTGGGATTGAGTTTGGGGGTGATGAATCATAAGGGGGTTCAAAAAATTTGAGGGGGTGATTTTTTTCCACTTTTTTTCTTTAAAATTTTCCATTTTAAATTGGTTATTTCTGATTTATATATAAAAGCAAATAATAATGATATGGTTTGAATAGGTAAATTAAAAATTTTAAAGTTCTTAAACCACATTCATTCTGTGTCAGAAACCTATGCTGTGTCAAATATTTAATCACAATCCAAATTCAGTGCTGTATCAAGCTTGAATGTTGTGTCCATACTTGCCCCAACTGTTCAGGGTTCGACCTCTGCGGTCACATCAAGCTGCGCCCAGCGGAGCATTTTATTAGCATATCTGATGGAGGTTATGCTAGGTAGGTTTGTATTCAAACATTGAATTTGATATTATATGTTTAAAATATTCTAAATTTTTACATTTACATAGTGTAAATCTCTATAAATTAGATTTCTTAGCTGTATTTCTTTTTACTTTATGGGTAATTTCTCAGAGGTAATTTATTAGGTTAGCTTCATTCAGATCACTCTGGCCAAGATGTTTTTTAATGTAGCTGTTGGGACACCTGCTTCTTACAGATAATAAAGTAGGTTTTTTTTTCATGCAGTTTTTGCAACGTTTTGTTGTATTTTAAATAGGAATAGTTATTTTCAGTAATGGTTGGTTTAATGTTATTAAGTTGTTTAATACCCAACATCTGTTATTAATGTACAGGAGTAAAATTTATAGGACTACACATATTTTGGATAGATTATATATGCACCATTTGAAGCCATAACTTCTGAATGGAAAAGGCAAAATTATTTGACTTTTACAAAGCATGAAAATTTTCTATAAAAAAACACAAATATTTAGTCTTGAACATGGGTGAAATATTTGCCACTGTATCACGTTGCTTTAAACAAGCAATAATAAATAATAACTCATAAACAATTAAACTTTCTTGGTGCACTAGTTGATAGTTATCTCCCTATTAAGTACAGATGTTATTATATATTTCCGGTTTGAGTGCAGATGTAAATAGTCATCTCCCTTTAGTGCAGATGTTAATAGTTATCTCCCTTTTGAGTGCAGATGTTAAAAGTTAACTCCCTTTTGAGTGCAGATATTGATAGATATCTCCTTTTAAGTTCAGATGTTTATAGTTATCTTCCTATTGAGTGTAGATGATAATAATTATCTCCCTTTTGAGTGCAGATGTTGACAGTTGTCTCCCTTTTGGGTGCAGATGTTAATAGTTGTCTCCCTTTTGAGTGCTGATGTTAATAGTAACTAACCCTTTTAAGTTCAAACATCAGTAGTGTTTAACCTTCTAAATGCAGATCTTTATAGTGTTAACCCTTTTAGGTGTAAATGTCAGTAGTGTTAAACCTTTCAAAAATTTAAGTGTAAATGTTAATAGTTATCTCTGTTTTTGTTTTTATAGATGCTTGGTAATCCAGAAAATAAGCCATCATTCTTATCAGAAAAATCGTTGGATGCACCATTTAAATACCTGTCAAAGAAATTCCCAAACATTGATTCCAAATCGTCAACGGTAAGTCTTAAATGTATGAAGTAGAAAAACGCTATAGCTAAGGTACATGAGGTATGGTTTGCTATTTCCAAATGGCTGAGGAAAGTCACAATATTTGTAAATCTGTATTTATCATACAAATTTTATTATTATTTTACAATTAGTTTAATATGCGAAGAATGCAGCATGATGGTAGGAGTGCAATTTAGACCTCAGCAACTCTCTGTCTTGGTCTGTATTGTTTCTAAGTTAATGAATACAAAATCAATTCACACAAGTGTTCAAATTATGAAGAATTACAAGTGTGACCTTATGAAAATGATTTACGGTAGATAAACTGTTTTCCGCCATCTTGGATTGGAAAATAGTAGTTCTCAGTTTTGAAACAGATTGGCAATTAGTGGGATAGACTGTTTATTGGAACATAGAAAAAAAATATGATTTATTGCATTATTCAGACTGATTGATCAACTACCAATTATTTGTGTTTGTTTGAAGCAAATTGTCAACTTAGTCATTTGAGGGGAGATAATTCAAATAGTAAAATGAAGGAATGATAGAGAAATTTCAAATTTTTACTTGTAGCAGGAAAACAAGGTCGGTGACACCATTTTTGAAAACCTATCTTCTCATATTATATATTTTCAAAGTTCTATCTCATAAATTTCTTTATATAAAGTATTTTTTCATGAACATTCCATACAAATTAGGGCAATTTTGCATGACTTGTAGCTTGAAAAATAGCAAGGTGACCCATACTTTTTATTACATGTATATATTTGAATAGTCTAGAGCATGGGCAAATCTACATTCTGGCAAAGTATAAGAAAATTCTATCAGAGGAAATATATACCAATGATTCACCTTAATTGTGAATTGTTTGATTCTTCAAAGAGTCCAACTAAAAACTATGTTTCTTACATTATGTGCATGAATTGTTCAAGTGGGTGTCTGAAAAAAATCTGCATTCACACACACATACTGATAGATATACATTTTATCTCCAAACTTTCATACATTAAGCCTATGGCTGCAACCATATAGTATCTATATTCATTTCTCTAATTTTCATGCTTTTTTCACATTTCTCGATCGGTGAGAGAAAAATATTTCTCTTCTCTAGAGAAAACTTAATTTGTTCTTTGCAAATAATTGGTCGAAATTAAATTATGACGTCAAATTTTCTTGGTTTTCTTCTGAATTTCCTATTGTGACGTCATAAAAAAAAGGAGACCATGCCTTATGACGTCACATATAAAGAACACAAAATTCTGCAAATCTTTGAAAAGGAAGGATACACTTTGTTTAGATATCTTTTAAAATTCATTAGAGAAACAGATTCCGCCACTATAACTCGTGTATTACAATATTTTTCCTCTCTTGACTGATAAATTTTAATTATTTTAAAAGCTCAGCAAGCCTCAAGCTTTAAATATTAAAATTCAATTGTCTCGAGTGGAGAAATATCGTAACATACTTGATGCAGTGGTGGAATCTGTATGTTTCTATTATTTGAGTGTCTGAAAATATTCAGTGGATTTTTTTTATTTTTGACAGTACTAATTTTTCTTAGATTGATGACAAATTGTATTCTTGTGGAAACTTGATTTCTTGATTTTGATAAATTTTGCATACGTGCCTGTCACTTCTGTTGGATATTTGTTTCTTGCTTAAAAACTCAAATTTGATTAACTCATTCCAACGAAATCCACCAAAAATTAGTTCCCTACGAATAATAATGAATCAACAGAAGTGGATAATTTTGATACAAAACATTAAATATTCTACTGCTGTAAAAAAAAGTTTGTTTTTCATCACTAGTACGACTTTATACTGTGAATTCATTTTTTTTACGTGGGTTCCAATTATCTTGAATTAAGGAAACATTGTATTTTTGTGGATATTTGATTTCATGGTTTTTACAAACATTTACATACAAGCATACAGAACATTTAAATTCATGGTTCCCCTGTACCCATGAAATCCACAAAAATTGGTTTCCCACAAATATTAATGCATCTACAGTATACCTTTAAAAATAGAAATTATTGTTGATTAAATGACAAAAGCAAATTTAATATGTTGCATTTCATGAAATATTGCATTCAAATATTGCGAAAACAGAATGAAAAAATGTGAGTTTTTAATTGATGCAATAATTGTCCTGTTGCACTTATCAGAATTTACAATGTATGATATTGAAGGAAAATTTCTTTTTAAATTCTTTTTCAGCTATCTCCAATACAAAACATCAAAGCAGATGTGGTCAAGTCTTTGTCACTGTATTACTATACATTTGTTGATATCATGGACTTTAAGGTAGGTCTAAATTATGTTTATAAAGAAAATGTAAGAAGACACAAAAGGGCAGGAAAAATTTTTGGTTGAAGGATGCTAAGCATGCAGGGTTTAGGAGTAAGAGCAAAGACTGATTGGCTCTGAGTTTAAATAATGTGTCCGGTAGGGTAACATGGTTCATGCAGACAGATGAACTAGTGGCTCAGTTTGTCAGTCTAGTACTGGTACATAAAAAGGGTTCATATTTATATTCCATTAACAAGTTCTCATTCTGTAATGGATGTAACATTTGTCACTGGATGTTAAATACAAATTGACATCATCATTGATATTAAGAATAATCATATTTATATATAATGTCCATTTTAGGTTTTAATATAAGTCTTTTTCAAAAGAAATATACACAAGACAAACACTAGTTTACATAGCATAACACAAAACACTAACTTAATAATGAGCAACACAATCAGAACTTAAAATGATAGCCAAGGCTCCGTCTTGAAGACCGTACTTTGACCTATAATGGTTTACTTTTTAAAATTTTTACTTGGATGGAGACTTGTCTCATTGGCACTCATACCACATCTTCTTATATCTATATAAGAGTGAATTCAGGTGCTCTTAAAGACATGATGTATTTTAGATTGCAACTACAAATAATAAAATGCAAATCAACTAAAAATAAACTGTTTATTAGAACTCAGATTTGGCATTTATGATTCACACACATAATCTTTTAATAAATTATGAATTTATGTTGGCTTCCACATATAATCTTTTAATTATGAATTTCTGTTACATAAACAGGGTTCATCACAGAATGAAAATCAAAGGTGGGGGAGAGATGTCAACATATATCAAATATTGTACCTATTTACATAGTTTTCTATTTTATATTTTCAGGACCATGTTACAGATTTACTGACCACTATTGATGCATGCCAAGTTCATTTGGACATTGTGAGTGTTCACAGAGATTATTTTGACAAATTTTTATAATTTTCTTTAGTTAATTATAACTTGAAAAGGACCATCTGGATAGAGTATCCTCCATGAATTGATCATCAATATTACAGTTTATGTAATTGCCCCCAAAAAATGTTTGAAGAAAAAATTGAGAACCTTATAAAAATAAACCAATAGTAATATCTACAGGTTAGAATTGCATAACTTATTTATCAATTAATTTAAAAAAATATATATTCAACTTTTAATAATGTTAAGGTTTACTGTATTTTTCACTTGATTTTTTTCAGGCCTTGAACTATGACCTTACCAAACAATACCTTGACCTCATGGTGACCTATGTGTCAATCATGGTTTTGGTGTCAAAAGTTGATGACAGAAGATTAGTACTGTCTCTGTTTAATGTAGCACATGAATTTCTCCATGGTGCAGGGTTAGTATATATATATTAAATGTATGTCATTTTTGTTTTTTCAATGGTCAACAAAAAGAAGACCCTTTTCAAAAAAAATTAATTTAGGCATGACAGTGCAATCAGTGTTAAAAAAAAGACACAGATTCTTTATTGAATACAACTTTTTTTTTGGAATATTTAGAAAAAAAATGAAAACTTGAGTTAAAGCTGGTACTGCAAAATCAACTTAAATTGTAGTGTATATATACCTGTCTTGAAATTATTTGAATATTGAATTTCAAAAAATTGTATATTTCCAAAAAGTTTCAGTATACAAAAGTAACGAGAAACTTTTTTTGCATTAATTGAAAAAATATATCAATGAGATGTCACCTGTGACATTTATAAATCAGATGGACCAGATTCTTAAAAAGACTTCACAGAGTCAATGTTAAACTTCTTTGTGTATTAGAATATGGGAAATTTGCCATACTATGACATACTACTAGCATGATTTCTGCTGAAATAATTCATTATGAAAATAAAATATCTATCAAAACTGTTATTTTTATGCCCCACCTTTGATAGTAGAGGGGCATTATGTTTTTCGGTCTGTGTGTCTGTTCGTTCGTCCGTCCGTCCATCCATGCGTCTGTCCCGCTTCAGGTTAAAGTTTTTGGTCAAGGTAATTTTGATGAAGTTGAAGTACAATCAACTTGAAACTCAGTAAACATGTTCCCTATGATATGATCTTTCTAATTGTAATGCCAAATTAGAGTTTTTACCCCAATTTCACGGTCCACTGAACATAGAAAATGATAGTGCGAGTGGGGCATCCGTGTACTATGGACACATTCTTGTTTACGATATATTTGAAACAATATCATACTGAAAATATGCATTTATAAGATGTGTATTTGCAGTTAAGATGTAAAATGGTTAATTATCAATTAATAATTTAACATTTATTTTGCACTTTTTTTATAAAAAATATTCAACAACAACTTTATGTAACCAAACACATGCTAATTGAATTAAGAAAGAATATTTTTTGGACAGCACTTGATTTTGCATACAATAAATCAGTAACTAGTAATTATAACAATTCTTTTATTGAAATTTCAGCGATGCCTCCTTTCCCAGACTTGGGCAAATGGTGCAGGATTACGATCACCCAATGAAGAAGATGTCAGAGGAGTTTGTACCTCATTCAAGGGTAAATAGATAACACCTACATTTAGGACTTTTAAAGAGGAACAAGGTGGAATTCATAATTGGCAACAAACATTATACAACTATTGACTTTTGATGAGGTTGATACAATAATTTATCAACCCCAGAGATATGATTTTCATCAAGGCTTTTTATCCTTCACCAATTTTCTAGTATTTGCTAAAGATACTTTTAAAACTGCTCCTTGTTTTTATACTAAATATTTCATATGCTTTTGCAGGTGCTCACTTTTATAAGTTGAAATATTTAAAAAAGTTTACTAAAAGAATACATCTAAAACAAGAAGAAGAGAAAAAAATACACAGAAAACAAGAAAAGAAAAAACAAGAATTTGCATAACGTCATAAACCTACGTCATTGACGTTGCCTTGGAATATCTATATTTAGGTACATGGACGCTGGTCCAAATCCTATATTAACCTCTCATGATTTTCCCACAGTGAATATAATATTTTATGAAAGAAGACTGTATGCTTTTAGCCAATGACAAAAGAGAATTTTTATTTGTGATATAATAATTTAGAATATTAGTTTGAATGCATGCTTTTGTAATATTAAAGATATTGAAGCTATTACTTTCAATGCATGTGTTCTAGAGGAAAAGTTAGATGAATGTCATTGAACTGGCAACACAAAATATATTTCAAAATATGAAATCTATTATACCGACATTGACCAACAAAATTGCCAACTTACATCATTAACCAGTGGCATTTATTTGCCAAAATTAGCAATTTTTAAAAGTGTTTGGGAAATTGTTTCTTAATTTAGAATTTTAGTTGTTTCTGAATGTATAATTTTTCTGCACTGACATTAAGCTTAGGGCTATTCCAGGAAAAAAAAAGATACGGACGGGTTGGACACCACATGATATAATTTTCTGTTGGTAATAGAGTTGAAAGTAAATTCAATTCATTTACAAATGAAAATAAAACTTATGGGAGGTAGGCTATAAGTAAATTGTTGTCAACCCCCGCCCCTCTCCTTTATATGTTTTCCTGGAACAGCTCTTAATAAAATCAATTGAATATTTTCAGGTTTTGATCCCAGCCATTATGTCACTACACGTAATCTATCCCAAAAGGAATTTAACAGCAGAAATGATGAGATCTACACAGATGTTAAGTTTGCTAGCAGAACCTGCTAAAATAATGAATAGTCCCATCACAGATATGGTAAGAACTCTACAGTTAGTACAGCATTTGATGGCAATGCAATAAGAAAAGAAAAGTTGCTTGTTTCTGATTTCAATTCAAGCGATATTTGTATTTGAAAATCTTTAACTTACTGTTAGTTTTTAAGGAAATACAATATAAACAAGTACAAACATTTTTTTATTGTAAAAATATTTGGTAAAAGGGAGGCAACTCAATAATTTTTTCAATCTTTTTCCTTGGCTTCATAATATCTCCAAATAACAACATGCAAAGAAGCTAAACTGTAAAAAAATTCTCTAGATAGACCTTTAAAAAAGAAATGATCTCATATCCACCATATTGTTAATTTTTCATTGTCCTCTCTAGATCATAAGAGGGCTTGGCCATTTGAGTGATTGACTATTTGGTAAATTCAAATGATGATTTTTAAAACCAATACTATATATATCAGGATATTTTGATGTATGTCTTTTTTTGTTAATTTCATGGTTGGCATTTTAGTATGAAATGTACCTAAAAAAATATCACGTTCCATTTGAATGCACTGTGCTATACCTTAAAACTTAGAGCAAACCATAAACACATCAAAGTTCAACTGTCCTATCTAAGGCCCAAACCCCAAACAAAACTGGATGCAAAAATAACCAGTATTGCATAATATTATTAATCGAATATTTTTAAGGATTTTTGATTCGTTAAAACTTGATCACATGTACATTTGTATTTGCTCAGTTTGCACGCCAATACTGTTGTGTTTAGCTTTTCGTAGGTCAAAAACAGCATATTGCACAGGGCATACAGCATGTTACTAAAAATAGATTCTAGAAATCCCCAATTTTACATTGTTCATGCTATAGTTGTTGATTAATAATATAACAATTGTAGCCTTTGGTTGAGGTCAATACGATGTTATATCGACCCAGAGAAGCATATCGACCTCGGACTTCGTCCTCAGTCAATATGCTTCTCTTAGGTCGATATAACCTCGTATCGACCTCACACAAAGGCTATAATTGTATATTACTGCTAGGCATTCTTTTTATATTCATGATTGGCAGATGTTGCTGATTTTGTTAAGGAAAATTGAAGTTGCTATTCACTGTTTTACAGTAACTGATTTGTTTACAAACTTAGTTATAGAAAACATTTTGAATGGTAAATAATGTTTGCACAATTATTTTACAGGTTCAATGTGAATATCTGTCACAAGACGTCATGGAGAAATGGATAATTTGTAAGTATTACACATACTGTGAGGTCTTGTAAACAATATTTTCTCTAATTCATTGCTGATTTTTACTTTCTGGGACTGGTTAATATTTTTTTATAATCAAAGTGTAATTTGGTTATTATCAGTTCTTCAATGGTCAAAATTGAATTAAGAGTTGTGAATTTGTTATTGTTTTGTCACAAATAAAGTTCCATATGCCTGCTGATCTCTCAAAATAAAATAAAGAGAAATGGTATGATTGCAAATGAGACAACTATAAACCAGTGTCAGAATGACACGTATTTTAAGCAATTGTAGGTAACTGAATGGCCTCCATCAATCAAATGAGACAACTTTAGACCAGTGTCAGAATGACACATATTTAAGCAATTTTAGGTCTTCATCAATGAGCAAAACCAATACCATAAAAAAGGCATCAACATACCAAAATGTCAAACATTTCAAATGAAAAAACCAACTGCCTGATTTATGACGAAATAATGAATGAAAAACAAAAACTGTGGATTCATTTATTTTCGTTTGTATCAATTTTTTGTGGATTATGAAAAACTTGCACTTTCATGGAATGTCGGTCAATGAAATACAGACAGGTAGAAATTTATGCATCTTTATAAAAGTGAAAATGGAAATATTCATGATATTTGGCAATTAGAAGAGACAAGAGGATTGTACACACACAAAATTATTCAAAATATTCAGCAGGAAAAAAGATTATTTGATTGTGCACAATAGACTTTTGCCAAATATTGGGAAGATTGAAATAACTTGTATTTATACAGTTTAATTAATTCTAACAATAAGATTAATTATAGAATTGGGCTCATAGCATTAACATAAAATATTAAATCTCTTTAAAAAATATTTTGGATTCCTTTCCACAGTTGGATTGATGTTATGTTACCAGTATTTACAAGAAGCTAAGGCATGGGACCTGTGGAAACAAGTTTTACAGTCAGGGTATATTGTACAGTTATGTAGAGATGAGGTGTTACACATCCATGGATTTATTGTATCATTCTTTGAAACAATTAAAGGGTGAGTAACAAAGTTTGATTTATCGTTGTATTTTTTAGTATGAAGAAAAAAATTGGAGGTCATTTCCCAGCTATCTGAAAAAAAGTTTTTCCATTAAATTGTCCCTCACCCTGCACGTCCGAATTTAAAGTATACCTACTCTAAATACGATTGGCTATAAAGAAGATAAATGCAGAAATAGGATTGCTGCTCTCAGAATGCTCAGTAACTTATTATATTCTCTTGCGATACAATTTTTATTTTAATTAATTGTACAGATTTCTATCATTCAGAAAACATATAAATACAATCATGTATTAAAAAAATGTAGCAGCAACTGTATATATATAGTAACTGTGACTAACTGAAATACCATAAAACCACACCCGTACAAACTGTTGAAACTTTTCTCGTGCCCATGCACCTTACATTAAACTTTATGAATAGTAAATACTGTTGCAGAATTAGTTATACTAGTATTGATCTATATATAAGTCATACAAATAGCAAACGGGAAAAACCCACTTTTGAAACGAAATATATTTATATGTAAACATTTACACATTTGGTCAAGCCTTCTCTTTATTTTGTATGAATCTTACCATTCCCAAGGTTAGAATTGGTATTACAGTTTAAACATTATTCCTAAATAATATGGTTGACAGTGGTAGTACTCAAGATCTTAAAAATTGTCGGACTTTTGTCAAAATGTTTCAAAACTGATTAATGACACAGTCAAAGTTAATGCATAGTTTCCATTAAATTTGTCAGAAAAAGTATTTTGACCTTCAGATGTCTTTTATGTTTCTTCTTTTGTGTTTTTAGGTTGTTGTCTAATTGATAACTATACCACATCTCCGTTTTTACAAAATGTAGTATTTGGTGTGGTATTGGTTTTGCTCATTGTTAAAGGCCGTACCTGACCTATAGTTGTGACTTCTACTACATTTGGTCTCTGGTGGAGAGTTGTTTCATTGGCAATCATACCACATCTTCTTATTTTTATATCTGATTCATGTTTAGTTATGAACATATAACACTATTTATTCAATCTTAAAGATAAGAAATATTTTTGAAGCTTATCTGTCTTCAATTTAGAGATAATGTATGTTTTGTATAGAAAAATATCTCTAGATTGAATATATTTTACAACTTTCCAATACATATATTATTTTGATTGATTTTGCATTTTCAACAATTTTAGACACAACATGAAAAAGAAAATAGATGATGTGAGAGAATTCCAACATAGTGCATTGCAGACCTCGTAAGTACCTAGGGTCATATAAGCATACCTTTCCCAATATTTTTTACCAAGAAACACAAATGTTCCTTCAATTGGCCAGGTATTAACATTTCTTGGTCTCCACAATATAAACATTCTGTCTTCAGTTGCTATTACCTTGGTTTGACTTCAAAATACTGCTTTCCAAAATAGTTTAATACCCCGCCGCATTTTTGTGCCTGTCCCAAGTCAGGAGCCTCTGGCCTTTGTTAGTCTAGTATGTTTTTTAATTTCAGTTCATTTATATGTTTTGGAGTTTAGTGTGACGTCCATTTTCACTGAACTAGCACACAATTTTATTTAGGGGCCAGCTGAGGACCACCTCCTGGTGCAGGATTTTCTCGCTTCATTGAAGACCCATTGGTGGCCTTCGGCTGTTGTCTGCTCTTTGGTCGGATTGTTGTCTCTTTGACATATTCCCCATTTCCATTCTCAATTTTAATACAAGTTCATTAATTAGCCTGGTGAACTCTTTTAAGCTAAATTACAATAATGAAAGCTAATATGAGCCAGCTATTAGAATAAGTTTATGTATGTCAACTATGTTGAAAAGTACCAAAGAGTTCTTTGCAGAAATAGATTTTCAATATAAACAAAGATAACTATCTTTGTTGACAAATACGAAATCAATGTCAATTAGACCAAAATCTAGTAATGTGTACACACACACTCATACACTTTTCTATCAAAAGGTAAGCATAAACTAAAAATAAAATTAACTTTTTTAGGATTTTTTTTATTGGAAAAGAAGGAATGACACAAAATCTTAACAGGCTTGACAAAATCTAATCAAAGGAAACATGCTTTTTTGTTGTTCTTCTGTTCTGACTTTAGGCCATACAAAAAAAACAAAATGCCTATGTTCTCAGGCCACTTTTTAAAATATGGATGAGGGAGGGAGGCCTTTTTTTTCAGAAGAAGACAGTTGTGTTTCTTTTTTTCGAGAAATTTCATCAGATCCGCTGCTTCAGCTGTCTAGATATATCTTATCAATCATGATCTGCTTACCCTTCTAGGGCACAAATGTGTATTTGCATCAAAACTTTGCTCGTATGTGAGATTTGGCAAAAAATTTAAGTAATCTAGCATCAACTATGTCTAGTCAATGCTAATTAACAACCTCAATAGAAACGTAACTTTTACATTTTCGTCAAGTGCACAGACGACTCCGTTTACTTATTCATTCATAAACACAAAATCAATATCAGACCGTATATGAAAAAATTCCAAATTTTGACGAAACTAAAAATCGACGCAGGAGTGTTATTAGGGAAGCCTGAGAACCTAGTATATTTTTTTTTGTGACCTTATTATTCTTATACAATATTTTTGATTATGTTACAGGCCAGGAATACACAAGGAAAGAAGAAAATTTTTAAGATCAGCTTTACGAGAACTGACACAAATATATGCTGATCAACCAGGCCTTCTTGGACCAAAGGTAAAAAAGAAATGATAAAGTCTTATTTGGAGATATTATGAAGCCAAGAAAAAATATTGAAAAAATTATTGAGTTGCCTCCCTTTTACCAAATATTTTTACAATAAAAAATGTTTGTACTTGTTTATATTGTATGTCCTTAAAAACTAACATTAAGTTAATGTTTTTCAAATACAAATATCGCTTGAATTGAAATCAGAAACCAGCAACTTTTACATAATTTGGTCTAGTTGAAAGATGTCTCATTGGAAATCATGCCACATCTTTTTATTTTTATAAACATGAACCTCTGGCCTTTGTAAGTCTTTAAAGTTTTTTTAATTTTGGTTCATTTATATATTTAGTGTGACGTCCATTAGCTGAACCAGTATACATTATTGTTAAGGAGCCAGCTGAAGCCTGCCTCCGGGTACGGTTTTCTGATGTTGAAGACCCATTGGTTGCCTTGGGCTGTTTTCTGCTCTTTGGTCGGGTTGTTGTCTCTTTGATGCATTCCCCATTTCCATTCTCAATTTTATCATGCTCTATTTATATTTTCATATATTTTAGTTTTTGTGTCAATTTATTGTGGAAAAGAGAAAATTCATTATTTCACTGATTCAAAAGATTTTGATTTACATCTTACCTTTGTTTATAGGCATTGTATGTATGGCAAGGCTTGTCCGTCGCCAGAGATGAAATTCACTGGTTACTTCGACACTTTGATAATCCTCCATCAAAAAGACACAACATTAAACTATCACAAGAAGATTTTGTTGACAGGTAAACACTTGTAGTTTTTAAAGATGTTCGCTCCTCTTGTTTTTGATTTTTTGCCAAATATTCGGAATCCTCTGGTTTATGCATGTAATGCCATTAAAAATTTTGCCCGCTGACCCCTACTTTTCACTCCATAATTTGATTACATAAAGTCGAAAATATCATCTTTGAAAATCTTATAAAATCCTTGTTATTTTTTCATCGTTTTTGAAAGAAAAAAGGTTCCAATGTTAAACGTATGAAAAATCTAGAGAGAATTATTTCCCGCCAAATTTTCAATGGTTTATATCTCGAAAACAAGAACACTGACCCTCCATTTTTTTCTGCTTTTTTAGTTTCTGTATTTATATACTATCAAGTTATAACAGTCTTTGAAAGAGCTTGTTATTTTGAAACAGAGTAGCGAACATCCTTAAGTCTATTACAGGCAATTGGCTGTTTCGGATTCTAAAGGACTATGGGTAATTTCATTGTTTGTACCCCAAAATGAAAATAACGTCACATCATTGGTTGAATTTCCATTGTTTACGGACGTTTTAACCAATCACAATGTTTTGGTGTACACTTTTGAAAATATTACCCAGAATGCATTAGATTCTAAAAAGGAGAATTAAACATTTACATTTGAATTTATGAGAATAAGAATACTTTATTAGTTTCAAACAACAGGAAAAATATGAAAACTATGTTCTTTTAACAAGATAAGTTGGAAAGATAACTTTGTGGAATTGATTTGAAAATTTACAGGTATTTTTAAGTTACCCTGGCAGTCTCATTTTTGATTGGATGTCAAAGTAAAATGAAAATATGATAAATCCAAATTGTATGGTGGTCAAGAATGAAAAAAATTAGTATCGAACATAATCTTTATTGTCTCATTGGTAATTATACCATATCTTCTTTTTTAAATATATATATCTTGTTCCAAATTATTCTTGAGTTTTGTGGGGTTAAATGACCACAAATGTAAATTCAACAAAATGCATATTTTCTTTTAACTTTCATGTACAATTTGTTAAAACCACAAGATCAAGTATCCACAAAAAAGCAAGTTTTCAAACAGATCCAAGAAAAATGGTATTCTCAAAAATAAACACATCCACAATTTATTTTACACTAATCAAGGTATTTTGACCATGATTTTCTACATGATTATTTAAAAAAATTCTGACAAATATTGTTACACTTCTGAAAAACTAATTACCATTATCTAATCAATTTTCTTGGAGGATTTTGAAATTTTGTTCATTTATTTTATTTTATTTTGGAGCATTACATTTGTTAAAAATCAAGTTTATAATCTATGGTTTGATCTTTTTTTTTTTAAAGAATTATGAATATTGAACACAATTTTGATTATTGCCCTTGTACCTTTTATATTTCTCAATTATATTGAAAATGCAATCATGTAAAAATAAATCATGTTTTTCGTATCTTGTAGACAATTACCAGAGTTGCTGTTTTACATGGAAGAATTAAGAGGTAAGGATTAATTAAAACTTGTCCCCTGTTCCTGGTCCTGGTTTCTTCTGAGAGTTAAGTATGCAAATTGCAAAACTGTTACCTATAATTGATTATATCTTTTGTCATTTAAACTATTATATAGAGAATCACTGAAGCATGACCAGAGTTGGCCCCCTCTTAGGCAGTCAGTGGGCCCCCACTTATGAAAATTTCTGGATCCGCCACTGTTCAACACTCAAGATCTGAAAAAAAGACACACTATGTGAAAATGTTTTCAAATAAAATTGAGAATGGAAATGGGGAATGTGTCAAAGAGACAACAACCCGCCCAAAGAGTAGAAAACAGCCGAAGGCCACCAATGGGTCTGCAACACATTGAGAAAATCCTGCACCCGGAGGCGGGCTTCAGTAGGCCCCTAAACAAAAATGTGTACTAGTTCAGTGAAAATGGACGTCACACTAAACTCCAAAACATATACTACTAATGAGTCAGTTCTGTCTATAATTTCCATGAAAGTTCTGTCATAAAGTATGTTGACCTTCAGATAATTTGTCTTGTTGGGTTGCTGTCTTATTATTTAAACACAACATCTCCTTATTATATAATTTTCTTACCTTGTTGAAGATTTACATATTTTATAAAGTATTTTATTTTACTTTGCAGGTTTAGTGAAGAAATACAACCAAGTTTTACAGAGATATTTTGTGCAATATTTGTCTGGTTATGACTCTGTCCTGTTAAATCAACTAATACAGGTAATGGGTTTTTTGTTGTTATGTAACTTGATTAATGGAAAGATTTTAAAATTAGGTTAATGCATTAGGTTCAAGCTGCAGCTCTTATAACGAATATGCAGGAGGTATTTGCTACTAGATATAAAGCAAGCAACCAACAAATCAATTAATTAATCAAGCTGTAGCTAAATTTATGGGAAAATGATTTAAATTATCTTGATTAATGGAAAGATTTTAATCTGTAGATTTATAAGGAGATTCTAGATTTTTGAAACCATTTTGAGCTGTGGACAGATTTTTATACGACCACAAAAAATTTTTTGTGGTCGTATATTGGTATGACGTTGGCGTCGTCGTCCGAAGACACATTAGTTTTCGCACTCTAACTTTAGTTTAAGTGAATGGATCTCAATGAAATTTTACCATAAGGTTCAATACCACAAAAGGAAGGTGGGGATTGATTTTGGGGTTATGGTACTAACAGTTAAGGAATAAGGGGCCAAAAAGGGGCCAAAAATAAGCATTTTTATACGACCGCAAAAAAATTTTTGTGGTCGTATATTGGTATGACGTTGGCGTCGTCGTCGTCCGGCGTCGTCGTCGTCGTCGTCCGGCGTCGTCGTCGTCGGCGTCGTCCGGCGTCGTCCGGCGTCGTCCGAAGACACATTGGTTTTCGCACTCTAACTTTAGTTTAAGTGAATGGATCTTTATGAAATTTTACCACAAGGTTCAATCCCACAAAAGGAAGGTTGGGATTGATTTTGGGGGTTATGGTAATAACAGTAAAGGAATTAGGGGCCAAAAAGGGGCCAAAAATAAGCATTTTTGTAACTTCCAGACATAACTTGTGTGTTAGTGTATGGATCTCTCTGACATTGTACCACAAGGTTCCATACCACTAAAGGAATGCTGGGATTGATTTTGGGGGTAATTGCCTCCAAATTTTAGGAATTAGGGGCCAAAAAAGGGGCAAAAAACAAGCATTTTTCTAGTTTCATGACAATAACTTGTGTGTAAGTGTATGGATCTTTCTGAAATTGTACTACAAGGTTCAATATCACAAAGGGAAAGCTGGGTTTGAGTTTGGGGGTAATTGCCCTAAACGTTTAGGAATTTGGGGCCAAAAAGGGGCCAAAAAACACATTTTTTTCTAGTTTCCAGACAATAACTTGTGTTCAAGTGTATGGATCTCTCTGAAATTGTACTGCAAGGTACCATACCACAAAGGGAAGGCTGGGATTGAGTTTGGGGGTGATGAATCATAATGGGGGTTCAAAAATTTTGGGGGGGGATTTATTTTTTTTTCCTTTTTTTTCTTTTTTTCCTTTTTTGTTTCTTTTAAAATTTTCCATTTTAAGTTGGTTATTTCTGATTTATATTTAAAATCAAATAATAATGATATGGTAGGAGATACACACCAAACAGGATGTGTAAATTATTATATAATAAGTATTGTGCAATAGCAAGAAATTTTCAATTGCACAGTATTGCACAATAGCAAGAAATCTTCAATTGCACAGTATTGCGCAATAGCAAGAAATATCCAATAGCACAATATTGCACAATAGCAAGAAATTGTCAATTGTACAGTATTGCGCAATAGCAAGAAATATTTAATAGCACAGGATTGTGCAAAAGAAGATACTTCCTATAAATTGCTTATTTCTTGACCAATTTCAATGGGGTTTTATTCTTGATTTCATGGGGTTCTTTAATATGCTGAATCTAACCGTGTATTTAGTTTTTGGATTTTGGGCCCCGTTTTTAAATTGGTCCACATTGAGGTCCAAAGGGTCCAAAATTAAACTTTGTTTGATTTCATCAAAAATTGAGTTATTGGGGTTCTTTGATATGCCAAATCTAACTGTGTATTTAGATTCTTAAATTTTGGTTCTGTTTTCAAATTGGTCTACATTAAGGTCCAAAGGGTCCAAAATTAAACTTAGTTTGATTTTAACAAAAATTGAATTCTTAGGGTTCTTTGATATGCTGAATCTAAACAAGTATTTAGATTTTTGATTATGGGCCCAGTTTTCAAGTTGGTCCAAATCGGGGTCCAAAATTAAACTTTGTTTGATTTCAACAAAAATTGAATATATGGGGTTCTTTGATATGCTGAATCTAACCATGTATTTAGATTTTTGATTTTTGGGCCCCGTTATCAACTTTGTCCACATTGAGGTCAAAAGGGTCCAAAATTAAACTTTGTTTGATTTCATCAAAAATTGAATTATTGGGGTTCTTTGATATGCCGAATCTAACCGTGTATTTAGATTCTTAATTTTTGGTTCCGTTTTCAAATTGGTCTACATTAAGAATAGCAAGAAATATTTAATAGCACAGGATTGTGCAAAAGAAGATACTTCCTATAAATTGCTTATTTCTTGACCAATTTCAATGGGGTTTTATTCTTGATTTCATGGGGTTCTTTAATATGCTGAATCTAACCGTGTATTTAGTTTTTGGATTTTGGGCCCCGTTTTTAAATTGGTCCACATTGAGGTCCAAAGGGTCCAAAATTAAACTTTGTTTGATTTCATCAAAAATTGAATTATTGGGGTTCTTTGATATGCCGAATCTAACCGTGTATTTAGATTCTTAATTTTTGGTTCCGTTTTCAAATTGGTCTACATTAAGGTCCAAAGGGTCCAAAATTAAACTTAGTTTGATTTTAACAAAAATTGAATTCTTAGGGTTCTTTGATATGCTGAATCTAAACATGTATTTAGATTTTTGATTATGGGCCCAGTTTTCAAGTTGGTCCAAATCGGGGTCCAAAATTAAACTTTGTTTGATTTCAACAAAAATTGAATATATGGGGTTCTTTGATATGCTGAATCTAACCATGTATTTAGATTTTTGATTTTTGGGCCCCGTTATCAACTTTGTCCACATTGAGGTCAAAAGGGTCCAAAATTAAACTTTGTTTGATTTCATCAAAAATTGAATTATTGGGGTTCTTTGATATGCCAAATCTAACCGTGTATTTAGATTCTTAATTTTTGGTTCCGTTTTCAAATTGGTCTACATTAAGGTCCAAAGGGTCCAAAATTAAACTTAGTTTGATTTTAACAAAAATTGAATTCTTAGGGTTCTTTGATATGCTGAATCTAAACATGTATTTAGATTTTTGATTATGGGCCCAGTTTTCAAGTTGGTCCAAATCGGGGTCCAAAATTAAACTTTGTATGATTTCAACAAAAATTGAATATATGGGGTTCTTTGATATGCTGAATCTAACCATGTATTTAGATTTTTGATTTTTGGGCCCCGTTATCAACTTTGTCCACATTGAGGTCAAAAGGGTCCAAAATTAAACTTTGTTTGATTTCATCAAAAATTGAATTCTTGGGGTTCTTTGATATGCTGAATCTAACCATGTATCTAGATTTTGGATATTGGACCATAATAGGTGAATGTCCAATTTAAAATTTTTAAGTTCTTAGACCACATTCAATCTGTGTTAGAAACCTATGCTGTGTCAAATATTTAATCACAATCCAAATCCAAAGCTGTATCAAGCTTGAATGTTGTGTCCATACTTCCCCCAACTGTTCAGGGTTCGACCTCTGCGGTCGTATCAAGCTGCGCCCTGCGGAGCATTTTATTATTTGTTGGCCTGGTATCAAAATGGTTCATATTGAGGTCAAAAGGGTCCAAAATTAAACTTTGTTTGATTTCATCAAAAATTGAATTATAGGGGTTCTTTTATATTTCAGATCTAACCATGTATTTAGATTTTTAATTTTGGGTCCCGTTTTTTAAATTGGTCTACATTAAGGTCCAAAGGGTCCAAAATTAAACTTAGTTTGATTTTAACAAAAATTGAATTCTTGGGGTTCTTTGATATGCTGAATCTAAACATGTGTTTAGATTTTTGATTATGGGCCCAGTTTTCAAGTTGGTCCAAGTTGGGGTCCAAAATTAAACTTTGTTTGATTTCAACAAAAATTGAATATATGGGGTTTTTTGATATGCTGAATCTAACCATGTATTTTGATTATGGACATTGGACCATAATAGGTAAATTAAAAAAAATCAAGTTCTTAGACCACATTCTTTCTGTGTCAAAAACCTATGTCGTGTCAAATATTTAATCACAATCCAAATTCAGAGCTGTATCAAGCTTGAATGTTGTGTCCATACTTGCCCCAGCTGTTCTTGGTTCGACCTCTGCGGTCGTATCAAGCTGCGCCCAGCGAAGCATTTTATTGTAACTTCCAGACATAACTTGTGTGTAAGTATATGGATCTCTCTGACATTGTACCACAAGGTTCCATATCACAAAGGGAATGCTGGGATTGATTTTGGGGGTAATTGCCTCCAAATTTTAGGAATTAGGGGCCAAAAAGGGGCAAAAAACAAGCATTTTTTTAGTTTCATGACAATTACTTGTGTGTAAGTGTATGAATCTCTCTGATATTGTATCACAAGGTTCCATATCACAAAGGGAATACTGGGATTGATTTTTGGGGGTAATTTCCTCCAAATTTTTGGAATTAGGGGCCAAAAAGGGGCTAAAACAAGCATTTTTCTAGTTTCATGACAATAACTTGTTTGTAAGTGTATGGATCTTTATGAAATTGTACTACAAGGTTCCATATCACAAAGGGAAAGCTGGAATTGAGTTTGGGGGTAATTTCCCAAAAAGTTTAGGAATAAGGGGCCAAAAAGGGGAAAAAAATAAGCATTTTTCCTAGTTTCCAGACAATAACTTGTGTTCAAGTGTATGGATCTCTCTGAAATTGTACTGCAAGATACCATACCACAAAGGGAAGGCTGGGATTAATTTTGGGGGTAATTCCCTCAAAATTTTAGTAATTAGGGGCTATAAAAGGGCAAAAAAACAAGCATTTTTCTAGTTTCATGACAATAACTTGTGTGTAAGTGTATGGATCTTTATGAAATTGTACTGCAAGGTTCCATATCACAAAGGGAAAGCAGGGTTAGAGTTTGGGGGTAATTGCCCTAAACGTTTAGGAATTAGGGGCCAAAAAGGGACCAAAAAACAAGCATTTTTCTAGTTTCCAGACAATAACTTGTGTTCAAGTGAATGGATCTCTCTAAAATTGTACTGCAAGATACCATACCACAAAGGGAAAGCTGGGATTGAGTGTGGGGGTGATGAATCATAAGGGGGTTCAAAAAATTTGGGGGGGGATTTGTTTTTCCTTTTTTTTCTTTAAAATTTTCCATTTTAAATTGGTTATTTCTGATTTATATATAAAAGCAAATAATAATGATATGGTTTGAATAGCATACATGTGAACCTCCCGACAGGAGTACAATAATCCCGTTTTCAGGAGTCTCCTCCCGACCTCCCGTTGAAGAGGAAATATGCCCAACATATCATCTCAGGCATCTGGTGTAACTCACATTACCTGAAGTTATATTTTACCTGTAAATCAATTAACATGCATAATTATATGGCTTCACTTGTCAGCTTGGGTGTCAAACTTACTGGTAATCAACGATTTTTTACCTCAGGCTAACTACTGTTGTGCAACAAAAACGTTGTATTTATTGGGTTACTTCCCTTGATTTATCCTGTTTTAAGTTACTTTCCTTTTAATAATGAAAATTTTTAAAAGAATATAAATTAAATATAAATTGAACAAATAATCATAAAAGGATGGTAAATAAATGATTTTAAATGTCTTAGGACAAATAAAAAAAATAATTATTTTAAAATTATTTGAGGATTCTATACTTCCTTTCAAGGCTTAAATTGAAATTTATATAGTAACTATGACCCTTGTTAAACAGTTAGAATGATTTTCTGAGTATGCAAACAAAAGCTATTTGCAGATAGTTAAACAAATGTTCTGGTTGCAATGATTGTATTATAGAATATGAAGTAAAAAATTTAAAGAACATACTGAAAAAAAAAAGGTTAGATTGAACATGTAGAATATAAAGATGGAGAAACTTTATAAGGACAAGGGTACTATAAACATAATAAATTGGATGGAAAGTTGAAGAAAACACACTTTAAAAGACCATTTTTACAGCACACGGTTACATTTACGACAAAATTTATGTCGATTAAAAACCTCCTGATCTGAGTCCTAATCTCCTGACCAAAATTTCCCAATCTCCTGATCTGAGTTTCACAGTCCATCACATGTATGAATAGGTAAATTAAAAAATTATAAGTTCTTAGACCACTTTCATTCTGTGTCAGAAACCTATGCTGTGTCAAATATTTAATTACAATCCAAATTCAGTGCTGTATCAAGCTTGAATGTTGTGTCCATACTTGCCCCAACTGATCAGGGTTTGACCTCTGCGGTCGTATCAAGCTGCGCCCCAGCGGAGCATTTTATTAAATAGTATGCTAGGATTCTGGCGTCTGCTCAGCTGATCGCAATTATTAGTCCAGATTTTTACTGGATTCAGCTGATTGAGAAATGCAATTTATTTGTGGAATAAATATATTATCGAAGAATTTTTTTTTTTTTAATAAAAACTGAATCTTTATTTAAAAATGCTTTATAAGGGGAGGTAACACAGATTACTTTTTTGTTGTTGATAAAACAAGTGACAAAATTTTTCTATTCAGTATGTACCAAGAAGGCAAGTACAGTGATGTCATCTTTCCTGTTTATATAGCACTAAATTCAGACTCTAAATATGCTCCTAACTTGTAAAAGTGCTCATCAAAGGCCTGTTTCAGATTTAAAAGCACAGGGAGGATGGAAGCCACTCAAATTGATAAATTTTGGACGGTTGCATTTTCTTTAGAATTTTGAAAGAATTATTAGTAAAATAAAAATTTTATATTATTGGTGGTGGAGGGTCTTAAAAAAGTGTGTATCCCATCCCCATGCATTTAAATATGGAACAGCCCTAACATAATTTGAATGACGCTTTTATGAATTAATTGATACTTTGGGCATTCCCGAAAATTTCTTTCAGGAATATGACATATGTGTACGCTTATTGTTAAGAAATACTAAATCTCCTTTTTTTTTGTAGAATTTGGCAGTCTGTCCAGAAGATGAATCCATTATTTTATCATCATTATATAATACTGTTGCATCATTAACCGTTAAACAAGGTTTGTATCTTATTATTGATATAACAAATAACTAGAATCATATTAAGCAAAGACTTATATACCAAAATATAATTCCTTGTTATGATTTTCATGGTATTCTCATTGTTTTTTTGGTTTCAGGGTACTGGGGATTTATTTATTTTCATGGGTACCAACTTTCATGAATTGAGGAAAAAATGTGTTTTTTCGTGGATATTTAAATTTTTGGTTTTGCCAAAGTTTGCATTTAAATCTAGAGAAAATGTGTACTTCATTGAAAAAGAGAGAAAATAAGTTATAAAAAGTAATAAAAAAAGTGGAATCACTCAAATTAGCAAAAACTATTTGCTCATATTATGAAATTGCTAAATTACAATCAATACCAAGAAACACATTCAATCAAGCAAAAAAGAGAAAGGTGGTTGCTACAAACATTCAATTGCCAATAGTATTTATCTTCTAATCAGCCCAAAATAATTTGCCATGATAAAATAAAATCCTTGATTTTCACCCCATTCCCTAATTTTTTTCAGGACCAAAATAGATAATATTCTAGGTATTCTCTATCAATTAAACAGAAGTTTTCACCTAAAATGGTAAAATATAAAAATGGGGTTGACGATCTCGTATTAAGAAATGAATGCTTCATTTTGTAAATTTATTGAGGTGTAAAAGGATTGATTGAAGTACATTTTGTATGAAGGGTGGAAGCGCTTCATTCTAAAAATGTGTGCACAGTCAGCGCTTTTACAACCCTATAGAATTACTATAAATTACTGAAAATAAAAGGCACCTTCTTAAGACACTGTTAAAATTTTCTATCTAGACAACTTCTCCTGTTGTGAAATCCACGAAAAACAGTATCCAGAGAATAATAATGAATTCACCATATTAATTTCATGGTGTATCTAGTAAACAAACAAACTTCCTTTTATTGTACACAATTTGTAACAATCAGTCACCATACACTTGAATAACAATGCTGTAACTTTCTTAAAAAAGTGATACTTTGTATTTAAGTGGATGCAGCTCTGCCATGAGACCTGATTCTTCTTCATTAAGTTTCTTGTTTTAAAGATGTTTGCACTAACATTACCTAAGAAGTTCTTTGATAATCATTTGTTTGGGATAGCATTTATTTTAATTGTTGCAAACACACCAGCAATCGGTATAAACAGAAAATTGGAATAAAAAAGGAGTAGGTTCAGTAAGACCACTTTTTGGCCCCAAAATAAAGCAGTTTTACAAAATTGTTCAAATGTAAACTTTTAGCTATTTATTGGAAAGAAGAATACTTCTATTACATAAATATGGGCTGTTTTTGACAATACAATACACATGTATCATGTACTAGCATCATTAAGTCATGCGAAATTACTGAAATCTTCACAATTTTAGCATTTGAGTTAATTTTTAGACGGTTTTCGTCTTAAATGGATGTGGCCGCATTTGTGTTCATTCTTAATATTTAAATGTAAGTTATATTTGATGATAATACATAACATATATAAAGGTTGAGGATGAACACGGATGCTGCCATTTCCATTTTTGACAAAAAACATCTAAAAAGTGACATATTTTGGCATATTTGATGGATTTTTAATATTTAAGCTTGAATATGAGCGTTTTTAATGACTAAATCAGTTCAAATCTTTCACATAAATTAATTGAATCTACTAAAGTAGACACTTAAGTGTTTAAAAAGTGTCCAAAATCTTTCATCAGATGAACCTGAAATTTGGGGCCAAAATCGGCCCTTACCGGACCTACTCCTTTATCATTTTCTTGATAAGAAACAAGGTCAAACTTGGTCTAATGGCCAACTGTCAGTTAAGTGCAGTCCACTATAGATTGTGTGCTAGTATATGTATGTCACTATAAAACCTAGTAATAATGTTATCTGGCAGTCCTTACTTGAATGTACTGTGAATGTGAAGTTACTTATCAAGTTTCTGTTAGGCACAGATTTCATTCTCAATTGTTTATGTTGTTTTACATTCATAATTTTGTTTTAATTCTTCCCTACTATCAGGATAGCATTTTCTAAAAATCATTTGATTTGGAAATTTGGCTAGTCTGGAAGAAGTGTACATTGCAATATAAAAACTTCATATCAATAGTCAAGTACAATATTTTTCTAATAATAATACTAAAAATATTTATATATGATTCTTTTGAAGATTTACAAATTTTTAAATAGAACTTCAGATTTTAAATAATTGTTAAGTCAATCTATTTTTTTTTGCTTTCTTTCAGTTTTTTTTTCATATGATATGAAAATATTATGAACTACCAAATCAAGGGGAGGTAGTCATTTGTTCACAGGATATAATTTTCCATTGAGATATAAAATAACAGTTAGTAACAGTTATTTCCCTTTTCTGCCATGTTGGAAGGAAACATGCCAAATTCTGTGATAAAATAACCGAATTCAGGTTGTAAAACTGACCATTAGACTTTGTAAAAAGTTTAATAACAATTTTCATTTTTTTAAGTTTGTATAATTCTGTAAGTTAAAAAAAACTCAACCAACCATTTATAAACACTTCAAAATGGCTACCAAGGGAAATAACTCCAACTCGTGTTTCTAAATAGGAAAACTCTAGGGGCTCAAATCATGCTTAAATACTCAATTGATTTTCATCCAGAGTAATCTTTACCGTGACGATCATTTAGGATATGATAGGCCAAAAATAAAATTTATATTGTTTGATGTTGCCAACCTACCCACCTTTAAAGCAGCCTACCCCAAAAAAATTTATGACACAAATCTTTTAAATTTTCTTTAAAAGATTTTTTCCTAATCTAACATAGTTTTCTTGTCTAAAACATGTAACTTATGTTGTTGGCAAAAAAAAAATCCCTACCTCCCTACCCAACCCTACAAGTCATGGTTAGGCAACATCAAACAAAGAATTATTTAAGGGTGGTCTTGGGTTGATTGTTACAAGATTGAGAAGGAAAAAAGGTATTGTTTGAAAATTTCCTTTTGATTTTTGTTTACAGCTGCTTAGAAACTACATCATTTCTCTCCATTTATTATATGAAACTAAATGCTTACTATTTGCCACAAGTTTAGTTCCAGCAATGCAAGAAGAAAAGTTTGCCAGGGGTTTCTTATACCTAATTAACCTAGCTAGTTTAAAGGGTGGTCATTTAAACTTAACTACTGCTTGAAAACTCACATTTAGCATGAAATACAACAACATGTCAGGTTTAATCCACCATTTTCTACATATGGAAATGCCTGTACCAATTCAGGAATATGACAGTTGTTTTCCATTCGTTTGATGTGTTTGAGCTTTTAATTTTGCCATTTGATAAGGGACTTTCCGTTTTGAATTTTCCCTGGAGTTCGGTATTTTTGTTATTTTACTTCTTATGCTACCAACAACTGCAATTCGATAAAAACAATTGTACAACCAGAAAGCATTCGTGAGTATAACTGTTCATTAAAGTGAGAAATTTTCTCTGAGATTTATTTTCACTTATTTTAGAATTAAGATGAAATTGAGGAAAAATAATTTTGTCGAAATTTGAATCTGCATACTGGGTCCTTTTATAGCTTACCATACAGAACAAGTTTTGCTCATTGTTGAAGAATTTCAATGACCTATACTGTAGTTTTTACACGACCGCAAAAAATTTTGTGGTCGTATATTGGTATGACGTTGGCGTCGTCGTCTGGCGTCGTCCGGCGTCGTCCGAAGACACATTGGTTTTCGCACTCTAACTTTAGTTCAAGTGAATGGATCTCTATGAAATTTTACCACAAGGTTCAATACCACAAAAGGAAGGTTGGGATTGATTTTGGGGGTTATGGGATCAACAGTAAAGGAATAAGGGGCCAAAAAGGGGCAAAAAATAAGCATTTTTGTAACTTCCAGACATAACTTGTGTGTTAGTGTATGGATCTCTCTGACATTGTACCACAAGGTTCCATATCACAAAAGGAATGCTGGGATTGATTTTGGGGGTAATTGCCTCAAAATTTTAGGAATTAGGGGCAAAAAAAGGGGCAAAAAACAAGCATTTTTCTAGTTTCATGACAATAACTTGTGTGTAAGTGTATGGATCTTTCTGAAATTGTACTACAAGGTTCCATATCACAAAGGGAAAGCTGGAATTGAGTTTGGGGGTAATTGCCAAAACATTTAGGAATTGGGGGCCAAAAAGGGGCCAAAAATAAGCATTTTTCTAGTTTCCAGACAATAACTTGTGTTAAGTGTATGGATCTCTCTGAAATTGTACTACAAGGTACCATACCACAAAGGGAAGGCTGGGATTGATGATGGGGGTAATTGTCTCAAAATTTTAGGAATTAGGGGCCAAAAAGGGGCAAAAAACAAGCATTTTTCTAGTTTCAGGACAATAACTAGTGTGTAAGTGTATGGATCTTTCTGAAATTGTACTACAAGGCTCCATATCACAAAGGGAAAGCTGGGTTTGAGTTTGGGGGTAATTGCCCTAAACGTTTAGGAATTTGGGGCCAAAAAGGGGCCAAAAAACACATTTTTCTAGTTTCCAGACAATAACTTGTGTTCAAGTGTATGGATCTCTCTGAAATTGTACTGCAAGGTACCATACCACAAAGGGAAGGCTGGGATTGAGTTTGGGGGTGATGAATCATAAGGGGGTTCAAAAAATTAGGTTTTTTTTTTTTTTTTCCTTTTTTTGTCGAGCCTTCGACTTTTGTCGAAAAAGCGAGACATAGCGATCCTACATTCCGTCGGCGTCGTCGTCGTCGTCGTCGTCGTCGTCGTTGTCTTCGGCGGCGTCCACAAATATTCACTCTGTGGTTAAAGTTTTTGAAATTTTAATAACTTTCTTAAACTATCCTGGATTTCTACCAAACTTGGACAGAAGCTTAATTGTTTATGATCATAAGATAATATTCAAAAGTAAATTTTGTAAAAAAAAAATTCCATTTTTTCCATATTTTACTTATAAATGGACTTAGTTTTTCTGCCAGGAAACATTACATTCACTCTGTGGTTAAAGTTTTTGAAATTTTAATAACT